TATTATGTGTGTTATCTTGCATTCCAAAAATATATTTAGTAAATTAGTTTGTTTCTCCTCAGATCGTTGCCACTGTTTTTAATTACCTTGGGGTCCCCTGTTCCCTTTTTCCGGAGGCGCGGATTTTGCGAAATCCCTCCACCCCGCTAGTCACAGAACTGGGCTGAACCAGCCCATAAACCATTGACAGTCTTCTTCTCTGGAGACATTCAAAACCTGCTTGGATGTGTTCCTGTGTGACCTAATCAAGGCACTGCTGCTAAGGCAGGGGGATTAGACTAGATGATCTTTCAAGGTTCCTTCCAAACCCTGACATTTGGTGATCCTGTGATTCAGCAAGTGGTATGCAGAAGAGACAGCAGCTATTAAAATGAAGACATGGGGAAAAAATAATCTTTACTTCTTAGCCAGGATTCTGGCATTTAATTTTTTAAAATAAATAATACATTATTAAGCTCTTCCCTTTTCTCTTCTCTTCTCTTCTCTTCTCTTCTCTTCTCTTCTCTTCTCTTCTCTTCTCTTCTCTTCTCTTCTCCTCTCCTCTCTTCTCCTCTCCTCTCCTCTCTTTCTGTTTCTTCTTTTCCTTTTTTCTCTTCCTTTCTGTTTCTTCTTTTCCTTTTCTCTCTTCCTTTATTCACTCTTCCCTTCCCTTCTCTGCTCTTCTCTGCTCTTCTCTTTTTTCTTCTATCGGCTCCACCGTTGTAGACAAAACTCCCTTATTCTCCTCCACATCTCGCTAGAAAAAGGAGAGTCACAAGTTGTGACTGAGTAATTTTTGCCTCAAACACAGCTTGAGAGGAAAAAAGAAAAACTGCTTCCTCCAGAGATCCCTCTGACAGAGGCAAGCTACAACTGGGACTGCAGCAAAAGCAAGGGCAGGAGTGCTGGTACCTGTCTGTGGGCCCAAGAAGCCGGGAGAAGTTGTCAATTACGACCTCTTGGTGACAGCGGATGAGGATGACCACCGCCTGGCACAGGAAGGGCATGAATGTGCTCTGCTGCGTGGATGATGTGCAGCTGCGCAGGATGTGGAGGATTGGTAGCACCTGAAAGAGGAAGGGGAGAAAGAACGACTTGCTGCATCCTTGATTCTGCAGGGCCTAGCCATGGACATTCAGCACATGAGCCTGCTCCCTTAACATGCTGCCAAGGCCTAAGCCTAAACTGCATGCCAGCTACCTTGTCCAAGCCATGACTCTGCACTCAGGCTGTGCTTCTTTAGCACAAGAGGCAAATGGTACAAGGCATAGTGCAACAGCCAGAGGAAAACCAAGACACATGAAAGAAAGTCTCTTACATCCTGACAGATGTCCTTCCCGTACATCTGCAGAAAGGTGGTCATCCACTTCCCAGCTGCACGCACACGCATTCCTTTGCCTTTCCGCAGCGTCTCCTTGATAGCCATCAGGAAGTCAACGGCGCGTTCCAGAGGGAAGTTTCTGCACACGATCTGCAGAGAAAAGAGAAGCAGGAGAGATCTCATCACTGCTCTGCGGCAGTTCTTCAAAACAGAAAGGAGTCTTGAGGGCATTTTCTTCAGCAGCTTGCCAGTAATTCAGGAGGCAATCACAATGCTCCTGCTCTCCATACCCTGCTATTTATATGGAAGGCGGTTGAGCCTTCTCTCAGCTTCTCCACCCATGGTGTTTGCTTACAAAGCCAACCTCCCAGCAGCCACAGTCACACACACACACACACGTCATGGAATCAGCTCCTTGCACAGGGCACCTGACGGCCAGAGAGAGCTCAGAGTCTCCACCTACTTGCTGAGAAAAGCAGTCTCCAGGTAACAGCTCATTCTGGAAATGGTGTGAGAGGCTGGGG